TCTTCTAAGTATTGAACAGACATAATTATATAATTTATATCTTCCTTAGAATTCTATCATCTTGACTTCCATCTGGTCAATTCTACAGTGAACTCCAATTTATATTGGTTTTATTTTTCTATGATCATTAGATGATGCTTACATTAGACACTGTGCCTAATCCAGACCTAGCCAGTCCATATAGACACACTTTATAGGCATATATTTTATGAGTAATCACATCAGATTCTGAGAACCAACAAAGGAGTTGCTCCCCAAAGCTCCCCTAGGTTGTCCCTTCATAGCCACCCCAATCGCATCTACCCACACCCATAACTCCTAGAAACCAATTAGCTGTTCTCTGCCTCAGTGTTCTTTTTAATTTCAAGACTATCTTAGAAGTAATAATGCATAGAATGCTCCTTTTTGACACTGGTTTTTTCTTTTTCTAGGATTCTTAGAGGATTCATCGAAGATTTTACATATATTCACATTGTGCATTTATTTTTTGTTGATGTGTAAAGGTTCATGTCTTTATGAGATCTTGTACTGTAACATCATGTAACTTAGTAGTGTCCCAAGTTTTCTGATCAAGGAGATTATGGGGCCAAAGAGGAAAGTGATTGATGATGTAGAGTCTGCCTAAGGAGAATCACATGGAGAGAAAACATTCTTTCAGGCTTTCATGGGGAGCACATTGACCAAGCAATAGCCGTGACTCATCCACATTGCTGACACTGACAAAGGATCTACAATCTGAGGTACAGGATCTCAGGATCAATCCTAAGAGGATTTCACTGACCTTATCTGATCCAAAAGCTACAATTCTTGTTGCATAGGTCTGGCTTTATCTTTGTTTTAACCATCCTGCAGAAAAGTATAAAAACGAAGTATAAGAAGTAAAGCCATGTTGTTATGTTGAGCTGTAGGGGGACTCAGGTCAACAATTTCTGACACTGCCAGTCAAGAGGAAGACCCAATACTATTATGGACTACTGGACTCTTTTAGAATATTTTGCTGAGTTCACACACCTATAATATTCAAATGATGGAACTAAACAAAAAAGACGATATATAAATGACTGCCCATTTTGTATCTGTGTATTCAAAATGGTTAGGATAGATATATAGTTACATTCTCTTAATGAATAGAGCGATTTGTTGTAATAGTGTTTGTAGATAGGATATCATGTCTGCATCTTGTACAGGAAATAAACACTAGGAAGAGAGTATGCAATGTGTTAATTATTGAAACTGTCCTACCAATTTGATTTGAAACTGTCTCATTGCTGTTTGTCTCTCAATAAAATTATGGAAAAAATAAAAATAAAATAATTTAAATAAATAAAGGTTCATATCTTGCATGTACCATGTTTTCCTTTATGATTAATATATGTTAACCATAAAGGAATTTGAGTTTTGAGTTTAGGGGTTCTCACAAATATAGCTACAATAAATATTGGTGTATAAGCTTTTGTAAGAATATGCATTTTTTTTTCTCCCTGGGATAAATGTTCAAAACTGCATTTGCTAAATTGTTTCTATTAAGTTTTTTTTTTTATTTCCAAAACTGGGGATTGAACTCAGGCCCTTGCACTTGCCAGGAAAGTGCTTATTCTACTGAGCCATCTCCCCAAACCCTTCTATTAAGTTTTATGGAATACTGCCATGTTATTTTCCTGTATAGCTGTACCATTTTACATTCCCACAAGAAACGTATTAATCATCCAGTTTCTCATCATCCTCAACAGTATCTGATGTTACAGTTTCATTTTTTGTTATTCTTATAATTCACTAACACTAGGTATAATTATCACTGTACCTAAAAACTCATTTTGATATTAGTTTGAATGTCTTCAGTGGCTGGTTATAATAATTATATCATAGTTCCTTTGTCATCAGTGTATTCTGTTTAGTGACATAGCTCCTCAAGTTTGTTGTCTACATCTTGTTTGTTTTCTTGAGACAAGTTTCCACACAGTAGCATATGCTGTCTTTGAATTCACCTGTCCTTGAGCTCACAACTCTCCTATCTCAGTCTCCCCACATGCTGGACGAGAGCGGTGTGCCCTCACACAGAGCGAAAAGCTGTTGTTCATTTTCTAACTGGAATTTTTAATTGTTGGGTTTTGAAACTCCATTGTACCCCACATGCAAGTTCTGTGTTAGATATGTTGTTTACAAATGTTTTCACCTTGTAGAGTCATATAAATAAGTAGTTTATTTTTCTTCCTTTATCAAAGTAAGTTCCTGAAATTTTTGTCCAGTCCTATTTATTAAGTTTTTGTTTACATATTATGTGTTTAGTGTCAAGTTTGAAAACAATCATGAACACACTCAGCTACCTTAACTTTGATGAAAGAACCAAATACCTTCACTGGAAGAAACCCTCTTAATAAATGGTGTTAGGAAAACTGGCTTTCCACATTCCAAGCATTGAACTTAGATCTATATTTCTCACTATGCACTAAACTCAAATCAAAGTGAATCAAATGTCTAAATATTAAAACAGAAAAACTTGACCTCCTGGAAGACAGAATAGGTACAATTTATGAAAACGTATGTGTGGCACAGGCTCTGTAATCAAAACTTAATTCCATAGGAAATTTTACAAAGAATCAAGTATTGAGATCACATCTTATTAAAAAGCTTTTGGGGACCGGGGAGATGGCTCAGTGGAAAAAGTGCTTCCCTGGCAAGTGCAAGGGCCTGAGTTCAATCCCTAGTTCCACAAAAAAAAGCTGTTGCACAACAAAAGAAATCCCGACAGAGTGAAGAGACAACTCACAGAGACAACTCACCCAACTTCTCCTCAGAGAAAGGAATAATATCTACAATATGTAAATAACTAAAAAAAAAATCAGATTCCTCTCTCCCCAATTTAAAAACCCAGTTCAAAAAAGTGGGTATGTGAAATGAACAGACACTTCTCAGGTAAAATACAAACAGCAAATAAATATATGAAAAAATGTTCACTGTCATTTGTCTTTCAAAAGATGCAAATTAAAACAATACTAAGTTTCCATTTGAGTACAAAATAAATGACTATCACTAAAAAATCACCAAAGAAAACAGCAGGCAGGGATATGTGGGGAAGTAACCCTTCTGCACTTCTGAGCATCATCCAAAGAAGTTAAAAGCATCTTACCACAATGATGTATATAACCCCATGTTTGTAGCAGCATCATTTATAATACCCATACCCTGAAAATAGCACCATGAATGGATCAATGGATAAAGTAAAAGTGACATTTATATTCAATAGCATACTACTCTTCCAGAAAGAAAGATAAACCTGAAACATTTTTAAGTAAATAGAGACACCCAAGATCACAATTTTAAGTAAAATAAATAGGATGCACAAGTTTAAATATCACACTGTTGCACTTTCATGAGAAACCCAAAGGGTAAATAAGGAGATAAATAGAGTAGAGGTACTGGAAAGCAAGGAGAACATGCTCAGATAGGAAGAGGAAAAGGAGGAGAGGAAAGAAATATATGAAGAAGACTAAAAAATAAAAAGAAGATTTTATAAGTGGAGAGGAGAAGAACGGCCAAAGAACAGGATGAGAATAGGGAAAAAAGAGAAAAATTAAGATATAGTACGTACAGGTATTCCCTATGATGAATGTGATCATTATGGAAGCCAAATATGTACCAATAAAAAAGTTGCAATAAAGCTAATTACTCAAAGTGCCTGAAAAATAAATCAGTCACCAGATGCTACCTTACAAATACTTTCTTCCACATTATCATCTAAAAACTAATAGTTTTGCATTTTGTATTGAAGCCTGTCTGATACATTTTGAAGTAATTTCTATGTAGTGTGTATTAGATCAAAGTTTTTCTTTTATCCATTTTTAAAAATTGTCTATGAATGTCCAGTTGCTGCGGCATCATTTATTGCAGGGCTACTCTTCACTGATGAACTCTGGTTCTTCAATTGAAAGTCAGTTGTGTGGATTCATGAGGAAACTAATCGATACTGTTGTGTTCTGCTGATCATACTTCTATCCCTATGGTTGTAGCACATTGTCTTGGTATTATATGTACACAGTTTTAACAACTATATATTTCCCTCCATATTATGCTTTTCTAAGAGTTAAGCTTTAGCAGTGTATTTTATTTGACTTTGCAAAGTAAATGTCTTTTTCCATGAAAACTTTTCCGACATTTTGACATTGTATCAAATTATGTAAATTAATTTGATGGAATATTGATATCTTCATAAATGCTGAGTTTTCCAATTGTAAAGACAGTTCATTTCAGTCTTATTTCCTTGATCAGTGCTTTGTAATTTTCATCTTAGATATACTATATATATTTGATTAGGTTTATTTAAACATACATTACTTTCTTTGGAGCAAACATAAACATTATTATATATTTTTGTTTTTATGCCTATATGTTCACTCAAGATGTAAAATGATATTAAATTTAGTATCTTTAAAATTTATTTTTATCTGATACATGAAAAAAAAATTAGAGCATATTAGTGGAGTGCCATATGCTGTTTTTCATACATGTGCATATTATATAGCATTCAACTCAGATTCAACATATTTGTCTCCTCAAGCATTCATTAATTTTTACATTAAAAACATTAAAAATCTTTTATAGTTTTTTGAACTACACAAAGCAGCTTTTAGTTACCACTATCTACATCCACCTTGTAGTGGTATATAGCACACTGGAACGTCCTACTTTATATAATTCTTACTTTGTACCTAATGATAAGTTCAATCTCTTTTAGTGAATTCTTGATCAAAGAAGTTTTCTATTTCTAACTACGGAGAATTCTCATTGCAAATGAATATCAAATATTTTAAGAGCTGATGTTCATTTATACTTGTGTCTATATTTTCCTATTTTATCCCAATTAAATGACAGACTACCATAATTTTACCCTTTGCTGTTCCATCCTCGCCAATTTAGAACAGTGTCCCTTGATCTCTACTTAAAAGCCATCTTATACTTTGGTAGATTTGATTTCCTAAGATTTTGTTAAGATTTTTTCATGTTTACTTACCTTGCAAGGGAGATACCATGAGCACAGAGGTGGCTTTCCCAAGGTAAAACTCATCCATTGCACTCTGGTTGTGCTGACTCCGGCTACTTCCCCAAGTGTGGAAAATGTGACTGCATAATTTTTGGTGGTGGGGGATGGCATTTGCAATTTCGCCTGAAAAACCAAGGTTTTTAAAGTTTATGCTCATGAGATAGATTGTCCGATATACATTTCCTCTTTGATTATGTTATCAGATAAATACTGGCCTTATGCCCATCAATAGGTGACAAAATTTTTAAGTTATCCACTTAGAGGATTTTTCTGGATTTGAGAAGTCAATTTTTGTTGTAAATGAAAATTTACCATTTAATTATGCTCACAACATGTGTCATATTGTCAGTGGTGTTTTTAATTGTCATTGGTACAATGTTTCTAATCTCTTTTAGAAAGTTTATTTTTGCCCACCTTAGCAAATCACATTAGTAATCATGTTATATTCTATATATTCATGATTTATTGCTCTGTTTAATACCAAAGAAATTAACACATCAGTAGTGAATGAAGTACTATCCTGAAAAATTATTGCTTGAAAGTAAGGTACATTACAAGGCCTCAGGTGAGTTTTTCAAAGCAATCTGAAAGATGTATGCTCTTGCCATGTTAACTTCATGAAAATATTTTATACCTCTTACATGTTCAAAATAATCAGCAACAGGAAAAACATTGTTTTCTAGAACATTTTTAGTATTGTTGATATTGTGGACAGAGTACTGAACACGTACCAATACTACTACTCAGTAGTGGTGACTTTGACCAAAACCTCTGCAAATCACCTATGGCTGCAGTAAGGGCATTAGCATAATTGTTAGGAAAAACATTTAAATAACATCATTTTGGAAGCAATACAATTGTTTTTTTTTTTTACTACAAATGCTTGTATTTTATCATACCCTTATATGGACTCAAGTATGATAAGCTTTAGTGCAGATAAGGATAACACTGATGCTGACATCGACAAAAATATTCTTTAAATATGCCAAAGGTGGGATTATCGGATACTATAGATGGGAAGCTTAGCATTTGTGGATAATCAAATTTGGAAAGAGGACTTATATTTTCTGTGTAAAAATAATAGCACTGAAAAATACTTCTGGAAAAAAGGAGAGCATTAAAATATATCCTGGGTTCAAAACATGTTTATCTATTTCCAAATGCTATGCATTTTATAATGCATGATACACACTGGTTGTCAATGTCTCAGGGACCACTGCAATAGGTATGCCAAGACAGCTCCTTGTAGCTCAGCATTTTAACAATGATTTAAATATAAAGATCTGTGAAAAAGATATATCAAATATATAAACAATTTATATTTCCTATAAAACCATGTAGAACAGTGTACAAGTTTTTCTCAAAACAAAGCAAAGATAATGGTTCCTGTGAAAAATATTTTCTTAAGAATTTTTTTTAAAAAACCATAGGAGCTGGGAGGATGGCTCAGTAGAATAAGCACTTGCCTGGCAAGTACAAGGGCCTGAGTTTAATCCCTGGTTCTGCAGAAAGAAAGAAAGAAAGAAAGAAAGAAAGAAAGAAAGAAAGAAAGAAGAAAGAAAGAAAGAAAGAAAGAAAGAAAGAAAGAAAGAAGAAAGAAAGAAAGAGAGAGAAAGAGAGAGAAAGAAAGAAAAGAAAATGAGCCAGAGAGATCTC